AGCGCCTTGGAGGTGGGCGGTGGGTACCTTTCTCCTCCCCTCTCCCCTCCCTTCCCTTCTCTTCCCACCCGGGTGGAGCTGGAGCTCTTCCCACCCTTGGACGCCTTTGGACGAGAAAGCCTCGGGCGCTCCGGAGACGGGGCTTTTGCTTTGGGAACAACAGCCCGACAAGGTAGGACGGCCGAGCAGAAAGGACTTGGGAGAGCTGACTTGGCGAAAGAAGAGGTGCAAAGTCCGTTCAGATGAACGCAACTGAAAAAAAGAGGCTTAAAATGCTTCACACACACACACACACACACACACACACGGTCTCCTTCTTGCTCCTGTCTCGCATTACAGATTGAGAAGACGGTGGATCATATGAAAGAAAAGCCCAGATCTGGAACTGCCAACTCTTATTTCCTACTTGTGACTTCCGTGTCTCTCAGTTCCAACGTTACAGTGGCTCCTTGCTGGCCCCGCTGCACGATGGGATCGGGTGTGCGTGTGTGTGTAAAGCGGCCAGTTTGCATTGCAGTTTTTCAACGCAGGACCACACTCGCGTGGGAACCCAGCAAAGCCGGATTGCAAAAGTCTACAAACTTGTTCTCAACTGGAAGGAGATTTGCAACCTTGTGCGCGTTGTGTAACGAGAGAGAGCTGCAATCCAGACGCTCGCCCAGCAAGGCTAGCAAATTGACTGCATATTTCCATCACGTGTACCCGAGTATTGAGTCCTCCTTTTATATATGCTTACTGCTGTTATCCATGTACTCTAGTATATACCATTCGCTAAATAAAGAAATAAAATAATTCACGGGCAAAACTTCGCCGTGCTGAAATGCGGAGATCCGCCAGCAGAGGGCGGGCCACTCCAGAAAAACTGGAAGGCTGCTGGGAATCCACTCCGGCTGTTCCGTTTCCAGTGGATTGAAGAAAGATTCCTGGATCGGCCGCAATTTGTGATAACTCATTGGCTCTTTAACAAATCGGCAATCTTTTGCCATTAACTTCCCCCCTTTGCAGTCTAGCCTTTAACAGGGGTTCTCAACCTTGGCAACTTTTAAGACTTGTGGACGTCAACTCCCAGAATTCCTCAGCCAGCAAAGCTGGCTGAGGAATTCTGGGAGTTGACGTCCACAAGTCTTAAAGTTGCCAAGGTTGAGAACCCCTGCTTTAGACCAATGTTCCTCAACCTTGACAGCTTTCAGATGTGTGGACTTAAACAGAATAACAGAGTCGGAAGGGACCTTGGAGGTCTTCTAGTCCAACCCCCTGCACAAGCAGGGGAGGCCCTATACTGTACAATTCCTGACAAGTGGCTGCCCAGTCTCCAGCTGGTGGAGCACCCACAACTTCTGGAGGCAAGCCGTTCCACTGGTTAATTGTTCTGCCTTCTTTCTGCTGCCTTGGAGAATAGCTTGACCCCCCTCTTTTTTGTGGCAACCCCTCAAATATTGGAACGTTGCTACCGTGTTCCTCCCAGCTAGACCTTTGCACTAAACTAGACAAGCTGGCTGGGGAATTCTGGGAGTTGAAGTCCAGCCATCTGAAAATTGCCAAGGCTGAGAAAAATTACATTTGCTTGTGAATATCTCGGTGTGTGTGTGTGTGTGTGTGTGTGTGTCTCAATCCATACTTCGACTGATCAAACGCTCCTCAGCTGTTCTAAGATCCTTCAAACTTCTCTTGGCTGCTGTCCCCTTGGATTCAGGCAGTCCTCCAACTGGGGCAGAATTTCTGTTGCTAAGCAGAAGGAGGTGGTTAAGTCAGTTGGGCCCAATCTTACGCCCTTTCTTTTGCCCGTGGTGGCTAAGCGAGTCGCGACGGTTATTAAGTGAAACACGTGGTCGTTAAGCAAATTCGGCTTCCTTGAAATAGACATTTGCGTCCCCCTTTCCAAGGGGAAAAAATAATATTTCCTGGTTTGTATGTTTGCTCACTGGCACATTACAGCTAGTCCTGAAACTTACAACAGTTCATTTAGTGAGCAAAGTTACAACAGCACTGAAAAGTGGGACCACTCGTAAAAGTGGTCGTTAAGTCGAGGACTGCCTGTACTGTGAGACAGACACGACGCAGAGTCCACGTCCCTGAAAACAGCTGCGGAAGGCAGAATAAACCATCAAGGAAACCGGAAGACAAAATTTCAAAAAAGAGCATTGAATCTTCCTTCCTTGTATATAATTTATTGGTTCGAGTAGCCTATGTGGATAAGACTAGAAGTTGGCTCTAAAATTCAGCTTATTTTTCCCCAGGGACTTAGATGGGGGAATTGCCCTTTTATTTGAAGAAAAAAAAAATACATCTTTTTAAAAACGCTCAGAGACGGCCATCCTCCTCCTCCTCCGACGGTCAGATTTTTTCCCTTTCAAAGGACACCCGTGAAAAATAAAGCGAGGATTAAAATATCGTCACTATTACAAAATCTACGAAGACAGCGGATTACTGCAGCGTCTCTTATGGACATTTTTAAAGCGGAAAGGAGGCAAATCCAGGGGGAACGGGCGGGCTGGGCTTGGCAGCCACCGATTCTCCGGCTACTTCTTCCCTGCTGCCGAAACGTCCTCGTAATTCTTGGCAGAGAATCCAGTCCCCCTCTTTAAAGTGCGGAGGGTCAGCCATGGAAGGCAGGAACGTGGGGGAGAGGGAGAGAGAGAGAGAGAAAGAGAGGGATTCCACGCCCTTTTGGAGGGAGAGAAAACCTTTGAACAGAAAGGAAAAAACCATCAATGAAGCGGGAAGTTGGAATACCACTCAATAAAGGCAATCCTCGGCTTACAGTCCTTCTGTTTAGTGACCGGTCTTTGCACTTAACATCCCAGGGTTCTGTGACTCTCTTTTGTGACCTTCCGACAAGCAAAGTCAACAAGGAAGTCAGATTTACTGAACAACTGTGTTACTGATTGAAACTCAATCAGAATAAGAGCTGGGAGGGACCTTGGAGGTCTTCTAGTCCAACCCCCTGCTCAAGCAGGAGACCCTATACCATTGGAGACAAGGGGCTGTCCAGTCTCTTCTTAAAAGCCTCCAGTGATGGAGCAGCCACAGCTTCTAGTGGCAAGCTGTTCCACTGGTTAATTGTTCTCACTGTCAGGGAGTTTCTCCTTAATTCCAGGTTGCTTCTCTGCTTGCTTGGTTAGTTTCCATCCTTTGTTTCTCGTCCTGACTTCAGGGGCTTTGGAGAAGAGCTTGACTCCCTCTTCTTTGGGGCAGCCCCTAGACCAGGGGTCTTCGAACTTGGCCCTTTTATGACTTGTGGACTTCAACTCCGAGAATTCCTCAGCCAGTATGGCTGGCGGAGGAATTCTGGGAGTTGAAGTCCACAAGTCATAAAGGGGCCAAGTTTGAAGACCCCCTGCCCTAGATAGTGGAAGACCGCTATCATGTCTTTTTCTTCTTCTTCACTAGATTGGTCAAACCCAATTCCTGCAACCATTCTTCATATGTTTTAGTCTTCAGGCCTTTAATCATCTTAGTTGCTCTTCTCTGCACTTTTTTTTCCCCCAACGTCTCAACATCTTTTTTATGACGTGGTGGCCAAAACTGGATGCCGTATTCCAGGTGTGGCCTTACTAAGGCTTTAGAACAGTGTTTCTCAACCTTGACAATTTTAAGGCATGTGGACTTCAACTCCCAGAATTCCACAGCCAGCAATGCTGGCTGTGGAATTCTGGGAGTTGAAGTCCACATGCCTTAAAATTGTCAAGGTTGAGAAACACTGCTTTAGAAAGCGGCACTAATGCTTTAAACTGTTTTTGACAACGGAAGCCAATAATTTGGAACACGTCTTCTTCCAACATCTTCCACCCTCAATTATATCGTCTTAAGTTTCCTATCCTTCCTCCCTCTTTTTTTTCACATCTTCATCCCAAGAAGGCAACATTTCTTGTTCTTATTTGCTTTTGGGGAACCACTTTGGTGTTCTGGGTCAAGAATTAAACTTCCCTGAGACAAGGATCAGCAAAAACAGCCAGCCAGAAAAATTCCCAACAGAATTTAACCACGGAAGAAACACAACTGGGCAATGAAAAGCATTCCACGATGCAGAGGTGTTTCAACTTCCAGCGTTCTGAATTGACGTCTTTAATCAAGGAAGCCGGTTTTGAGTTCCTCAACTGGGCTGTTTGTTAAAAACAATCAATTTGTCCCCATTTCTTTTAAAGGGTTTCAGGTGACTTGTTTTCACAAAAGAAGGAATGCCAACTTAACCCACTTGGAAGGAAGTAGCTGAGAAAGTTAATCCAGATTTAATCTGCTCTCTAAACAACTTTTTGTTGGAAGGATTGGCAGAATAAAATTGGGGAGGGGGGGCAGGGGAAGGAGGCTTGGGATGGATTTATTAAGGGACACAGGATGGGTGTGAGAAAGTTAATTAATTAGTGCTTGAGAAAGCCCTAATTAATTTTGTTCCAGGCCTTGCTAACTCCAGCAGCTCCCAATTTTGTTCGTAGCACCAAGTACAGGTAGTCCTCAACGTGTGACGATTCATCGAACAACAGTTTAAATTTACAACGGCCTCGGAAAAAGTAGCACACGACCGATCCTCAGATTTACGACTGTTGCTCCACCTTCACAGACACGTTGTTGTGGCCCTTGGCAACTGTGGGTCACAAAAGGGGATCACATGGCCCCAGAACACAGCACCCGTCATAGATATGAGTCGGTGGCTAAGCGGCTGAATTTGGATCACGTGACCCTGGGGATGCTGCAAGTTGTAAGTGTGAAAAATGGTCACACACTTGCTTTTTTCAGTGCCGTCGTGGCTTCGAACGGTCAGTAAATGAACGGCTGTTAAGTCGAGGACTCGCTATCACACATTCCTGGGTGGGCAGGCAGAGTGCTGTCCAGATGCTGGACTTGGAGTCCAAACCGTCTTTGAGGGATGTTCTGCCAGACCTCTTTGAGCCCCAGGAATTAAATTAGGGGAGACCTCGTGTCCCCCCACCTTCCCTGGAGGTGCAAGTAGAAAGGGGGGAAGGTCTGCAAAAGCCCACTGCCCCAAAATACACACCGGTAGGTTAGCTGAGCCCCAAACAGCCTCTGAATTCGGGCAGCGAGATCAGCTTGTTGCCGCTGAGATCACAGTAATCCAGGAACTTGCGGGCGCAGCGTTTGGGCCGGGCGTTCTGCTTCATGTACTGCTTGAAGGGGCGCAGCTCCCTCTCGCTCACGCCGTTGCTGAAGTCCCTGTCCAGGTGGGTGAACTGCCAGCGCACGGCCCGCTCTTCCAGGCTGGGGGCCGCCAAGGAATCCGGAAACCTGCCAAGATCGTGTCCGATTTTTATGGGATTTATTGTTAGTGCAAGTCAAGATGGCGAGTGTAATGTTCCCAACAACCCTGGCGGGTAGGTTGGGCTGAGGGAGAGCGACTCGTCCCGAATCACCCAGGCGGGATTAGAATTCACCGTCTCCTGTGATTGGCCCAAAGTCACCCAGGTGGCTTCCATGCCTAAGGCGGGACTAGAATTCACCGTCTCCTGGTGATTGGCCCAAAGTTACCCAGCTAGTTTTCATGCCTAACGTGGGACTAAAACTCATGACTTCCCAGTTCATGATCAAGTATCTTTACCGCTGCACCAAACTCTCTCTCTTTCTCTCTCTCTCTCTCCTTCCCTCCCTCCCTCCCTCTTTCTCCCCTCCAGATAAATCATTTATCTATTTATGAGGTATAGGTATATCTATCTATCTATCTATCTATCTATCTATCTATCTATCATCTATCTATCTATCTATCTATCTATCTATCTATCTATCTATCTATCTATCTATCTATCATCTATCATCTATCATCTATCATCTATCTATCTATCTACCTACCTACCTACCTACCTATCTATCTACCTATCTATCTATCTATCTATCTATCTATCTATCTATCTATCTATCTATCTATCTATCTAGATGATAGATAGATAGATAGATAGATAGATAGATAAAGATATATATATATATATATATATATATATATATAGATAGATAGATAGATAGATAGATAGATAGATAGATAGATAGATAGAGATAGATAGATAGATAGATAGATAGATATAGAGATAGATATATAGTTAGATAGTTAGAGAGAGAGAGAAAGAGAGAGAGACAGACACACAGACACAGACAGACAGATATAGATATATTCCAATCTAACTCAAGTGTTTCTCAACCTTGGCAGCTTTAAGGGGTGTGGACTCCAACTCCCAGAATTCCCTAGACACCATGTTGAAGTCCACCCACCTTCAGGTTCAAAACGGTAGCTGGAGAATTGTGGTAGTTGAAATCCACACACCTTAAAGTTGAGAAACACAACTCTGCACAATATCTTTGATTGCGCGATTCGCAGACCGAAGGGCCTCCCTTTTCCGTGATGGGTCAGCCGAATTTACCTGCGGTAGGGAATGGTCATCAGCCTGGACTGCAGCATGTGGGAGCTTAAAGCTTTGATCAGTTGTGTAAGGAATTGTGTTTTCTTTGACCCGGGACAACCTAGTTGGGAAGATCAAAAAACAAGAACAGAAAGCTGCTGAAAGCCTCGTTGAAAATAAACACATTCCTTCCTATTACTGTTACAGAGAGTCCTCTACTTACAACAGTTCGTTTAGCAACTGAAGTTACAACGGCACTGAAAAAAGGGACTTGTGACCACTTTTCACACTTACCACCGTTGAGTCACCTGATTTACATTCGGATGCTTGACAAGTGACTCACATTTATGACGGTTGCAGTGTCTCGGGGTCGTGGGATCCCCATTTGCAACCTCCCAACAAGCAAAGTCAAGGGGGAAGGCGGCTTCATTTAACAACCGGATTGCTAACTTCACCACTGCAACGACTCGCTTAACAACGGTGGCAAAACAGGGCAAAACTCACTTAACAAATTTCTCACTGAGCCACATAAATTTGGGGCTCGTTGGTGGCCAAGGACCACGGCCTGTATTTTTAAAAGGAGGGAAACAGCTGCTTGCTTACCGGGCAGAATTCGATCTCGGAACAAGGACCCTAATTCTGTGCTCTTGGCTGCTGCATCAGCTTCGCAGTCCGGGGGAAAGTTTCTGGAAAAGGACCAAAGGAGAAATGAAGAGAAGGCAGGTTTTGGGGGGCAGGAAGTCTGCCAGGCTTTTCCTGGGGGACCCCCCATTTTTAGGCATTAGGAAGTGAAAGAAACCCCAAACAAGACCCGTTCCAGATCTGGGTCTCTCCCAGTTTTTCCTGTCTTTCTTTTTACACAGTCTGCTTCTGACAACCTCCCCAAGCCTTGGGGCTGTCCACTATGTTGGGACTGCAACTCCCAGAATTCCTCTTGGTGATGGGAATGCTGGGAGTTGCAGTTCCAGGACATATCCAGACAAGCGGGTTGACCAATCTTGGTAACTTTACAACTTGTGGACTTCAACTCCCAGAATTCCTCAGCCAGCTATGCTGGCTGAGGAATTCTGGGAGTTAAAGTCCACCAAGTTGCTAAGTTTGGAGACTCCTGCTTTACGCTAAAGGGGTGTGTGTGTGTCACTGAATGTAGGGGAGGAAACAGGGGCCTCAATCAGATTCAAACTCTGGGTTCAAGACAGGTACGGAAACTGACCGGGTCGAGGTCCCTGGGATGGGGCGTCCGGTGCCCACTCGCACGCACCAACAGTAGCCTGTGGCTTGGTGACACTGCACCTCTTTGTAGGTGCCGTCGCCTTCGCACTCCGGGATGAAGGTGCCCTCCTGCTGGTGCTGGCGAGCCTCGTGGATGGCTTCCCGCCGTTCCTGTTCGCACGACGGTGGATATTCTGCACGGGAGGAACATCAGGCGCAAGTGCCCAGGAACAGGAGTTGAGTTCAAAAGGCGAAAAGTTCCTTGCCTGCTACCTCTACGCAAGAATCCGATCTACTAACAGCAGTCCAGGCCAACTGGCGCCAGAGAGGAGTCAACGGAATTCACAGGAAGCTGAACTTGGTTCTGAACTCGTGGGAACGCCACAACTCTAAACTAATGACACGTTTGACCCCACCTTCCAGTTCAGCCTGCTCAACTCCTACAAGGAGGATGAAGCAGGCAAAAGCCTCTTAAAAACCCGTGGTTTTTTTGTAGGAAATGTTAAACCATTGAAATGATTTTCAAAACTAGACTGACTGGATAACCCCATGACTGTTCTTAGTCTAGATGGTCTTCAACTTACGACCACAACATTTCTGTTGCTAAGCAAGACAGTTGTTAACTGAATTTTGCTCCATTTTTGTCACAGTTGTTCAGTGAATCACTGCAGCTGTGAAATTAGTAATACAGTTGTAAATCTGACTTTGCTTGTCAGAGGGTCGCAAAAGGGGATCCCATGATCCCGGGACACTGCGCCCATCATAAATAGGAGTCAATTGCCAAGAGGCCGATTTTTGATCACGTGACCATTGGGATGCTTGCAACGGTCCTAAGTGTGAAAAACGGCCATAAATCACTTTTTTTAGTGCTGTTGTAAGTTCAAAGAGTCACTAAACAAAGTTGACAACGCCTTGTATAAAGATCTCCTGCCTTGAGCAGTGGGTTGGACTAGAAGACCTCCAAGGTCCCTTCCAGCTCTGTTGCTTATATTCTGTGTTGTGTCAATGTAGTAAACGTCTATTCGATAAGACATTTATACAGAATTGATATAGAACATAGAATGTAACAAGCATGGACCGAACAACCCTTTGACCGGGATGGTATAAGGCAGGGGTAGGCAACCTTGGCTCTTTTATGACTCATGGACTTCAACTCCCAGAATTCCTGAGCCAGCATAGCTGGCTCAGGAATTCTGGGAGTTGAAGTCCATGAGTCATAAAAGAGCCAAGGTTGCCTACCCCAGGTATAAGGTCTCCTGCCTTGAGCAAAAGGTTGGACTAGAAGACCTCTGAGGTCTCCTGGTGCCCAAGTTTGGGGGGAATATTTTTCTCCCATGGGTGTCTGTAGTTAACACATTCCTGCACAGGTGAAAAGGAACAGCCTTTGAGGGGGGGGGGGCTCCTAGATCCGGACACTGGACAGATCCGGCACTGGACAGAAATAATTTTATGATTTTCATAGTTGGCCACCCAGAATTCCCTTTTAGAGTGACAGGAGCAGCAAATAAATTCAATGAATACGTCAGTAAGAAAACAGGGCTCACCTGGAGCCGGCTTGACCGTGTGGTTGGCCTTGAAATCCGGAAGGATGATGGGAATCAGGAAAGGCAAGGTGGTGCCTTCTGGGTTACGGAACAGCAGCGCGTGACGGGCAGAGAAGCAGAATAATTGGCAGGGAAGAATGACAGAAGCAGTTAGGGCAATACTGTGGCATCTGGAGACCATCTTGCCCCCACCCAATTCTTTGGTGCCTCAGTGGCCCCTCCGGTTTTTCTCTTACCCCCACCTGACCCATCCAAAGGGTCTCCTAGTCCTGTTCAGGGTGTGGGGGAGCCCATCTTTATCCCTGCCAGGCTTCATGGAGAGGGTATCTCCTCACCAAATAGGGCAGGATACCCCACTCCCAACTAAGGGCACCTGTCCTCAGCCGACAAGGACCGCCACTGCTTTCTATTCATTTCATTGATTTTCATATATATTTAGACCCATTTGTGAGTGAGACGGTGAGTTCTAATCCTGCCTTGGACATGAAAACCGGCTGGGTGATTTTGGGCCAATCACCAGGAGGCTGGGAGTTCTAGTCCCGCCTTAGGCATGATAGCTGGTTGGATGATTTTGGGCCAGTTGCTAGGAGGCTGGGCGTTCTAGTCCCGGGTAATTTTGGGCCAATCACCAGGAGGCTGGGCGTTCTAGTCCCGCCTTAGGCATGATAGCTGGTTGGATGATTTGGGGCCAATCGCTAGGAGGCTGGGCGTTCTAGTCCCGCCTTAGGCATGAAAGCTGTCTTAGGCAAGTCCTTCTCGCTCTCCTTCCAGCCCCACCTCACAGGGTTGTTGTTGTGGGGGAAAATAGGAGAAAAGAGGATTAGATACATTTGTCGGCTTCTTTATAAGAAGAAAGGGATATAAATAAATGAAATAAATAATAATAATATTATTATTTTTTGCAGAAAAACCCAGGCAGGGCAGGGCAGGGCAGGTCTGGCAAGGAACATAAAACTTTTTGCAAGGTGGGGATGGTTTTGTTTTTTTTTTTAAAAAAAGAAACAAAAACGGAATAGGGCAGGGGCAGGCAACCTCGGCTCTTTTATGACTCCTGGACTTCAACTCCCAGAATTCCTGAGTCAGCATAGCTGACTCAGGAATTCTGGGAATTGAAGTCCAGGAGTCATAAAAGAGCCGAGGTTGCCTGCCCCTGGAATAGGGCGACTCGGGCACGGCAGGTGTAAAAATCCACATTCTCCATTTCAAGCATGCACCGTGCAATCCTTGCCTAGGCACTGCAAACACACCCGTGCGACAACGGTCCGATTCTGGCAAGTCCAAGCAGCTCGTGTCCCCACCCCACCCCAACCGAGGGCGGTGGCATGGGTGGCACAGGCCAGGGGGGAGAAGGAAGGAAGGAAGGGCGGGCTAGAGACCTACCTGGCTGCCTGCGGGGCAGGGGGCTGGGCTGAGTAGGCCGTGGGCCGGTACCGCCTTCTTCTGCGTTCAGAGAGGAAAAGAGGTGGAAGGCGGCTATTACAGAGGGTTTAATGTCATCTTCTCTGTCCAAAGAGTGAAAGAATTTAGAGCTACAGGGCGTCTCCGGTCGGTGACGAGAGTTCATCGGGCTTTCACATCTGACGCAAACCCAGGGACACAGCCAAACCCGAACCCCAAAAGGGACAGGCTTTCTTCAGGCAGGAGAAGCTCGATCGGTTGAACTTCTGCCTGCTAAGCAACCCTCCAAGGCATTAAAGGACGGAATGCAGAAACTTGTTTTTGATCAGGAATGCCCCCCTCGCTAGCTCAAGTCGCTAAATCAGGTGGTGTTTCTCAACCTGGGCAGCTTTTAGATGGGTGGACTTCAACTCCCAGAATTCCCTAGCCACTTTTAGATGGGTGGACTTCAATGCCCAGAATTCCCTAGCCACTTTTAGATAGGTGGACTTCAACGCCCAGAATTCCCTAGCCACTTTTAGATAGGTGGACTTCAACTCCCAGAATTCCCTAGCCACTTTTAGATGGGTGGACTTCAACGCCCAGAGTTCCCTAGCCACTTTTAGATGGGTGGACTTCAACTCCCAGAATCCCCTAACCTGGCTAGGGAATTCTGGGAGTTGAAGTCTCCTCATCTTAAAAGTGGCTGAGATTGAGATACGCTACTCTAAACCCGTGTTTTAGATGTGTCTTCTGCGGAGGGGCTGCTATGAAGGAGGGGATATTTGATGCCTATTTGTAAGATTTCTTAAATATCTTATCAGTCGGGCTCCAAAACCCAAGAAAGGCAAGTCAAAAACTTGCCAATCTGAAGTAGACAAAATATATGCTGTGGAAACTGTTAGGGAGGAGCCGTCTTCACTCTCATTCTCTCACACAAACTCTCTGAACTGAACTGCCGCTTACTCCTCTGGAAGGCAGCCCCTCCCACCTGGGAATCCAGGCTACACTCCACCGCATCATCAAACGGTGGGAAAACACACCACCATTGTTCTGCCGATGATAAGAGGGTGGTGGTGGTTGGGAAATGCAGGGGTATCCTCGGAGGGCCAAAAAAGACAAGAGGGAGGCCATAAACACGCAATCAAAATCTGCATGTTGCATGAAAAAGGGGGTGGGGCTTCATTACGTAGTGCTGTCCCTCCCTCTTGGCTTTTTTGAACCCCCGGGTGGGTGTCAGTTTCCCCGAAGCTCAATTACGCATTCCTGAGTTCCAGCCATAGTAATTTTTATTTTAACACTTTTTTTAAAAAATTGTACATCACTCAGAGTCGCTCTCTCTCAAGTTGACATAGGACTAAAATTGTGTCAATCAATCAAATGCCCCCTTCGCTCACGCATCAGTCCAGGGGTGCAGTACTCACCCATGCCAGCAGAGTGAGCCCTTTGCATCCCAGGATTCCCAAACTGAGATTGTGACACCACCTTTTCTAGCGGGTCAGTCGAAGCCCTAGAGAGGCTGCATTCCCACGACATGCTAAAGTGGGTTAGTTTGAACCTCGGTCAATGCATTGTGTGAATCCAGAAGTCGGGTTAACTCACTAACCAAGTTAGGCACATCATGCACACTCAGTCCCTGGGCATAACAGCAAGCAGGGGGCGACGTACCTCGCTTAGAAGAATTGGCATCATGCCACGAAGTTCCCGCTGAATCCATTCCTGGTTNATTTTATTTTATTTTATTTTATTTATTATTTTATTTTATTTTATTTTTTTATTTTATTTATTTTATTTTATTATTTATTTTATTTTATTTTATTTTATTTATTTTATTTTATTTTATTTTATTTTATTTATTAATTTAATTTAATTTAATTTAATTTAATTTAATAATTTAATTTAATTTAATTTAATTTAATTTAATTTGTTTTGTTAAGTTAAGTTAAGTTAAGTTAAGTTAAGTTAAGTTAAGTTAAGTTAAGTTAGTTAAGTTAAGTTGTTAATTTTTAATTTCTCTGCATTAATTGTTCAGTTTAGAACAGGGGTCCCCAACTCCCGGGCCATGGACCAGTACCGGTCCGCACAAATAAGTAAAACCCCATCCGCAAGATGCAGGCAGTACACAAAACCACGGGAAAACCTCTCTCCACAGAACCGGTCCCTGGTGCCCAAAAGGTTGGGGACCTCTGATATAAAAGACAAGGTGGGACCCCAAAACAGGAAAAAAAATGTTGGGTAAAGTCCTTGTCCATCCACCCCAGAAGCCTTGCTGGAGGGAGGCGAGAGCTTCCAGCCAGGGGAAACGCGAGGAGGCACTTACCTGTGCAATTGGGCGCTCGGTTCAGGGCGGACGTTCCCGCGATGGGCTTGCCTTCCGGCGAGGAGCACCAGCAGTAGCCGGTTTGTTTATGGCACTGGACCTGCGCAGGCGGGAGAGAGAACGGATGAGCGGAGGTGCCCAGGAAACAGAAACAGGTGGTCCTCGACTTACAACCGTTCATTTAGCGACCATCCAAAGTCACTACGGCACTGAAAAAGAGTGACTCAGGACCGTTTTTCACCCTTATGACACGGCATCCCCGTAGTCATGTGATCAAAATTTGGACCTTTGACAAGTGGCTCCTCTTTATGACGGTCACAGCGTCCCGGGGTCACGTGTTCCCCTTTTTGCGACCTTCTGATGAGCGAAGTCAATGGGGGAAGCCAGATTCGTTTAACAAAAATGTGACTAACTTAACAACTACAGGGGTTCACTTAACAACGGTGGCAAGACAGGTCGTAAAATGGGGCAAAACTCACTTAACAAATGTCTCGCTTAGCAACAGAAATGTTGGGTTCAATTGTGGTTGTTAAGTCGAGCATTGCCTGGAATCAAAAGCCGGGGTCTATGACCGCACCATCCAAAGAGCACAGGTTGATGGCAAGGGTGCGGCCACCATCTTGCCTTTTTTGACCCTCATCAGCCCCCCCCCATTGTCTGCCCTTCACCCTGAGGTCCGAAGGAGCCCACAGAAGACTTATGTGTTGATTAAATTCACATGCTTCCCCCCCCATCTCGCTATCCAGAGACGGGGCATGATGGGAAGTGCCGTAAGGAAGATGCCGAAAGATCCTCACCTCCATGAAGGCGCCGTTGTCGCCACATTCGGGCACGTAGGGGGCGTGCGTCTGGCGCCGGGATTTGGCGAGGGCGGCTGCTCGGTCTTCTTGACACCGGGTCAAATTGGCACCTAGGGAAGCGATTGGAGGAAGACGCAAGTCAAGATCCAAGGTTAAACCAGTGTTTCTCAACCTCAGTGACTTTTAGATAGATGGACGTAACTCGAGGACCAGCTTAATTTAAGCAAGCTGCCAATCCATCCATCCATCCATCCGCCCACACTGGAGCCCACCTGGGTCCCATCTCTTGGAGGTCCGGAGAATTGTGCTCGTAACTGGAGGACTACCTTTAAGCAATCAATCAGTCAATCAGTCAATCAGTCAATCAATCAATCCATCAATCCATCCATCCACCCACCCACCCACCCACACTGGAGCCCACCTGGGTCCCGTCTCTTGGAGGTCTGGAGAATTGTGCTCGTAACTGGAGGACTACCTTTAAGCAATAAATCAGTCAATCAATCAATCCAATCAATCCATCCATCCATCGATCCATCAATCCAATCAATCCATCCATCCA